CCTTGGACTGCAAGGAGATCCAACCAGTGCATCCTAAAGGAAATCAGTCCTGAATATTCATTGGAAGGACTGATGCTGAGGCTGAAACTCCAATACTTTGGCCACCTGATGTGAAGAGCTTGCTTATTTGAAAAGACCGTGATGCTGGGAAAGTATGAAGGCAGAAGGAGAAGGGGATGGCAGAGGATGAGATGGTTGGATGGCATCACTGACTCAACGGACATGAGTTTGAGTGGACTCCGCGAGTTGGTGATGGACAGGGAGGCCTGGCTTGTTGCAGTCCATGGGGTCACAAAGAGTTGGACATGATTGAGCAACCGAACCGAACTGAAGGGAACATTTCATGCAAAGATGGGAAGAATAAAAGACAGAAATGGTATTGATGTAACAGAAGCAGAAGATATTAAGAAAAGGTGTCAAGAACACATAAAAGAACTATACAAAAAAGGTCTTCATGACCCAGATAACCCCTATGGTGTATCACTAACTTACAGCCAGACATTCTGGATAGAGAAGTCAAGTGGACCTTAGGAAGCATCACTATGGACAAAGCTAGTGGAGGTGATAGAATTCAAGTTGAGCTCTTTCAAATCCTAAAAGATAGTGCTATAAAAGTGTTGCATTCAATAAGCCAGCAAATTTGGTAAACTCATCAGTGGCCACAGGACTGGAAAAGGTCAGTTTTCCCTCCAATCCCAAAGAAAGGTGATGCCAAAGAATGCTCAAACTACTGCACAATTGCACTATCTCACATGCTAGCAAAGTAATGCTCAAAATTCTCCAAGCCAGGCTTCAACAGTACATGAACCGAGAACTTCCAGATGTTCAAGCTGGATTTAGAAAAGGCAGAGGAGCCAGAGATCAAATTTCCAATATTCACTGGATCATCAAAAAAGCAAAAGAGTTCCAGAAAAACATCTGCTTCAGTGACAACACCAAAGCCTTTGACTGTGTGGATCACAAGAAAATATGGAAAATTCTTCAAGAGATGGGAATACCAGATCACCTGACCTGGAGGTCAAGAAGCAACAGTTAGAACCAAACATGGAGCAATGGACTGGTTCCAAATTGTGAAAGGAGATCGTCATGGCTGCATATTATCGCCCTGCTGATTTAAATCATATGCAGAGTACACCATGAGAAATGCCAGGCTGGATGAGGCACAAGCTGGAATTAAGTTTGCCAGGAGAAATTCCAACCACCTCAGATTTGTAGATGACACCACCTTTATGGCAGAAAGCTAAGAGGAACTAAAGAGCCTCTTGATGAAAGTGAAAGAACAGAAAGAAAAAGCTGGCTTAAAACTGAAAAGTCAAAAAACTAAAATCATGGCAGCTGGTCCCATCACTTCATGACAATTAGATGGGATACAATGGAAACAGTGACAGACTTTATTTTTTGGGCTCCAAAATCACTGCAGATGGTGAATGCAGCCATGAAATTAAAAGACGCTTGCTCCTTGGAAGAAAAGCTATCACAGACCTTGAAAGTGTATTAAAAAGCAGAGACATTACCTGGCTGACAAAGTCTGGTCTGTATAGCCAAAGGTATGGTTTTTCTGGTAGTCATGTATGAGTGTGAGAGTCGCACCATAAAGAAGGCTAGCACTTAAGAAGTAATGGTTTCAAACTGTGGTGCTGGAGAAGACTCTAGAGTCCCTTGCACAGTAGGGAAATCAAACCAGCTATTCCTAAAGGAAATCAATCCTGAATATTCATTAGAAGGACTAATATTGAAGCTGAAGCTCCAATACTTTGGCCACCTGATGCAAAGAGCAGACTCATTGGAAAAGACCCTGATGCTGGGAAAGACTGAAGGCAGGAGGAGAAGGGGGTGACAGAGGACGAGATGGTTGGATGGCATCACGGACTCAATGGACACGAATTTGAGCAAGCTCTGGGAGATGGTGTAGGACAGGGAAGCCTGACGTGCTGCAGTCCATGGGGTAGCAAAGAGTTGGACATGGCTGAGTGTCTGAGCAACAGCAACAGTCTAATGGTGCCCTAAATTTTTACACCCTAAAATATATTAACAAACCACCCATTCTCCTCACTCTCTCTGCTACCAGCCAGTTCAAGTCAGCATCATCTCTCCCAATATTCTCACAAACACCTGCCTAGTCAGTCTCTCTGGTTCAATCTTGCCCGCCCCCAGTGATTTCAGACTCCACAGCCAGTTACTCTGTAAAAATGCAAATTTGGTCATGCTGGTGTCCTGTTTGAAACTCTTTCCTAAAGGGTTTCTCATACACTAAAGATAGAATTCCAAATCCTTTATGAGATCTTTTAGACCTCTAATTTATCTTACAAATTCTTGTCTTGCCTCTCCTCTTTCAGATGCTACATTCCACCATATTGCTAGTCTCTCAGGTCCTTAAAAATGAACTTGATTCCTTAGGTCCTCCCATATCCTTCCTACTGCCTAGAACTTATTTTTACTCTACAACTACCAGCGCTCACTCTTGGTTATCATTTAAACACTGGCTTCCTTTGAGAAGCCTACCTGGATTCCATTTCAACCCTGCTCTTCCTACCCACGTTCAACCCTCTGTACTTGCACCCAACATACCCTTATCTCCAACAAAGATGGGGGTTGTTATATGTTCCCACAATGATATAAACATTCTCTCTAACATAATTTTTAATATTTTATTATAAACACCTACTTAATATTTTTTCATTAATTTTGGTATAAAAGGGCAACAAACTACCCAGTATAAGCAGCTTGTCCAGTACAGTGCCTTGCACAGAACTGCTGCGCAAGGAATATTTCTTCAATGAGAAAATGGAGCACCTTTGACTTTTAGAAACTGGGAAGTGTTTAGAGATAAATAAACACCCCTTACCTTTAAGGAAGATAATGTTAAATGCAGAATGGTTGTTATACATAATTATATGATGATAATGAGTAAATAAAATTGACTTCAATTTGGATACATGGGGATTTGCTAATGTGGTAAATTGGAATTAAATATTTAGCTCTCCCTTTTGGGATAATCTAATCCACACTAAACACTTTTGGAAGACAGTTTTATGATTTTATATTACAGATGAGAAAATAGGCACAGCAAAGTTAATTGAGTAACTCAAGGTTACCCAGTGAATCAGAAGCAGAGCCAAGTTGTCAATATCTAGTACTTTGTGCTATCATTTTTAAAAACCATTTTGTCTTTTTCTGTGATTGTCAGACTTCAATCTGTATACTTTAACAGACTTCTCAAAAATATCTCTTGTACTATTTATATTTGCATATGGAAATTCACGAATGGAGGTATTTTGCGATAGATTTTCTTCTAGTCTTTAAAGTGCACGGCTTCCTGGGATGTGTCTCTGCACTCCCGTGCACTCTGAGGTACTCCCGTCTTTGCTCTTAATAGAGTGTTCATGTGAGGCACTAACTGCCACCACAAAGTGCCAGCGTTGAACTCTTCTGCACTGGCCCTCACACTGGATACTCTACATCTTTAAGTGCCCATAGTGAGTTGCCTGGTGCATTCCATTGCACTCAGCGGACATTCTGGTGGAACATGCTGCCGGTACTTAATAAATATTTGAGAAGCAACACAGGCTATTAAATTTAAGAGGATTTCTAGTTCCAACATTCATATTGTGAGAGAAATAAACTCAAAAAGGTTTATGATGCCATTTCAAAAGGCCAGATATGTACTAAGTACTCAATAAATATGCTTATATGTGGTATTCTGGGGCTAAAGGCAAACATAGGGCATAATCAAAAGGCATCAGAAAGCCTTTATCACCTTTTCACTATATACAATTAGTGTATAAACTTTCACTCTTTATAACAACAAGTATTGCTGATATTAATTTCTCAGAGACAGGGCAAGTATACACTTGAGATTTTTTCCCCTAGCCTCAGACTGGACCAACCAGGGCTCTTTCTTTTTATACCTGAATATAGCACAAGGTGTTAAAAGAATTTAAGCTGTATAAATTGTGGCTAACACATGTAACTTTTATTAGGTATGCAGTAATAAAATTAGGTATTTTATTAGGTATACTACACTCCTCTGAATCATTTTTCAGATCAGTTATACAATTTTCTCTCACCAGATACATTATCAAATAAAAGGCTCTCACCAGATACATTATCAAATAAAAGAATCCCCAATAAGAGAACATTTCCCTTGCTCTGTGAGCTTTGCTTAACCTGTCCTTTGTTCACCAGAAGCAAACATCTCTACCCCTAAAGCACTCAAGCTAGCTCATTATATCAGTCTCTAGCCCCGCCTTGCGGCTCCAGGCTCAGGAAGAACTCTAAATGTCCAAAGTATTTACTGTTCTTAATCCCCAGTGTGATGTTAAATGAATTGGTTCTGTCATGTGAATATAACTGATTATGTTTCCCCTAATCAAGATAGACACTCAAGTTACCCATTTGTAAGTCAGCCTATGTAAAAGGAAGAGAGAACTTCTGTCAGATACTAAGTTAACATCAATTGCTCATACCATGGAAATGTCAATTAAAATTTGAACGCAATCTTTCAAACACAATTTTCCAGTCCAAGAAATGTGCATACATCCATAGTGAATTGAGAGGCATACAAGGTAAAGTATTAAGCTCAACAGATGTGTTAATATTCTTGGTTGGTCACTGGTAATAATATCATGATATTCGTAGAGTCAGAATACTTTTGATTTCACTTGAAAATGCAGATTCCATGAATTCATTCTCATTCATTAGCTCTGTTTGAGGGGAAAGGACTTTACAGAGATGTTGTTTCATTTCTGAATGCTGCAGTTCCTACTAAGCTCTACCAAGAAAAAATGGTTCCATTCAAGAGTACATAGAGATGGAGTTCCTGCTTTCAGAGATTATGAATGCTCTCAAACACTTCCAAAGCAAAGTAAATTCCAAGCTGGGTTCTAAAGATTATTTTTTAAACTCCATTTGCCATAGTGGTCTGAATGTGACTATGATAAAGGCTAACAGAGTGAAAACAAATGTTTAAACCAAAGGTGCCTGCCCACTGGAGAATTTACCTGCAGAGATTCCATTTCTTCATCTTTTCTATGAGTCTCCTCCAGCAGATCTAAAATAAGAAAGCAAAATACCGGTTAAAATATAATGTAAAAATGCATTGCCTCTTAGTATCAAAAGTTTATTCAGTCAATAGCTTGCATAAACTATTGCATAAGAAAGAGACTTTGATGTTGAAGTATGAGAAACAATAAGAAAGGAATGCCCTCCAATCCCAGCTGATGATACGTGGCAGAGATCTGGGCCCTGCCATGCCTAAGCTAGCTGAGAAGCCCTGGGCGATCTGCGGTCTGGTGGAGATACCAAAAAAGGAGACCAACTCAAGTACAAGTCCAACATCAAACCAATGCTTTGGAAATTTGGTCTAATGATTATGTAACTCAAAAACAATACAAAATTTTCTTTAAAAAAAAAAAAACAAAACTTTTTTCTTTTGAAAGAAAAAAATAGAGACAAACCATTTGCTCTTAGAATAAGCTCCCAAGCCAAGTTCCACCTCCAGAGTCAATTTTTACAACCAAATTAAAACACCCCGGAATAATGGGTGTTATTAGTGGAAAGAAAACACCCCCTTAACTGTAAAGTCATATTAATTACCATTTCACACTGAGAGGGTGGGAAGCGCTGAAGCCACATCTGACCAACCGTCTGGCACCATCTCAGAGAAGTCAGGGGCTGGAAGGGGAGTCAGTCAACTCAAGAGAGTTCTGTCTAAATGCATGTGTACAGGCATGGCGTCTCAGTGTCCTGCATTAACTTATGAACTTGCTATAAAGGAAAATGCATTTGGCAAGCAGAATTTTCTGCCCGCAGCCATACCACCCTGTGCTATGATCTTATTAGACCTCGCAAACCTAAAGAGGGCTGGGCTGACTTGGAACTTGGATGAAAACTGGTAAAAAATACCTACAGCAGAGCACATTATGATTAGTGTTTGCCTCACTCTGTGATGTATATAGCTTACCAAGAGGCTGTGCTGCATAAAAGGAAAACACAACACACAGAAATTCAAGGTATATCCCAGAAAAGCAAATGTTTTTAGCAAATGCTACTAGATGGAGCAGGAAACAGTAGTATAGTGGGTAAGAAGTTACACTGGTCTGTGTCATAACAGGGAGGGCAATATCCTGAAACTTAAGGAGACCTGGTAGATGATATAATTGATGGTGATGACTTTTTGAGACTGCACAGTGAAGAGAAATACAGAGGAATGTCAGGCAGTCCCCTTAAGACACTATGTAGTGGGATTAGTGATAAAAGTCAGGTTATGCTTTGTACCTGTAGATGATGATGTTGGCTCCCAAAGCACCCAAAATCAGAGTTACATCAAGAGAGTTACATCAAGAAAATTACGGGAGAATATCAATGTATTAAGGTTTTATATTTAAAGGTTTTTTGTTGGCACATCAGAATTTTTAGCTATATGTACAGAAACCAACTGGCCGCGTGGTGAGTTAAGTGTCCTCAATGATTCCGCTTCCTTTATCCTTACTTATCCACATTGTGACATTGCAGCTACTTTCATTAAGAGGTCACATGTATCCTGCATCTAAGCTTGCCGCCTGACTTGATCTGGTAAATAGAAAACAGCAGAAGCAAGCGTGTGCCGATCCACACTGAGTTCAAAAGGCCTTATGAATTTTCACTTTTCCACGTGGTATTCTGTCACTACCATTTGAACAAGCCCAGGCCAGCCTGCTAGGTGACAAGAGACACATGGTCCAGAATTCTTTCCACTCCTGAAACTCTGCAGGTTGCCCCAACTGGTAGCCAGCAAATGCCCAGAAGCCAGATGACTCACTGTTAGTCATCTGGCTTCATAAAAGGAAAATACAACATACAATAATTCAATGTATATCCCAGAAGAGCAAATGCAAATGTTTTTAGCAAATGCTACTAGATGCAGCAGGAAACAGTAGTATAGTGGGTAACAAGTCACACTGGTCTGTGTCGTAATTGGGAAGGCAATATCCTGAAACTTCAGGAGACCTGGTAGATGATATATAATTGATGGTGATGGGAGCCAACTGAGACCAGACAAACTGCCCAGCTAAGCCCGATACCAATTTCAACTCACAGAATCATGACTTATGGAATAAATGTAATTGGGGGTTGTTTTGGTACATAGCACTTGCTCACTGATAAAAATCAGCTAACTGAACATGTAAACTAAAGAGCAAGCATTTAGAATGTATTAGAAGGCTATAAGATTAATTAACCAATATATCTAATAACAATAGATAATAGAAAAAATGATCCAGATTCTGGAGAGAAAAACAACTGATCTGGGTGGGTAGGAATGTAGGTAGCATGAGCTAATGGGCATCAGACTGGTAACACTAATCTTCATGTTACTCCACTCAAAATGGAATTCCATACAGAGAAGAAAGAGCTAATGAGACTAGCTTAGATCTCTTGCTTACTGCTTGGCCAAGGGAAAGTATGAAACACTTTCACTGATAATCCCAGAAGAATTGGATGAAGACCAGAAAGGACTGTTTCCAAACATCAGGGTACTATTAACAAGAGGAGGAGGTATGGATATCAAACAGGCCAAAATAACAGATGGCTTTAGGAACTGTATCTTCAGCACAACTCTCTTCAATATTTGTGAGACATAAATTACTTCAGTATCTTGGCTATTGTAAATAATGCGTCAATAAACATGGGGGTGAATATATCTTTTTGGATTTAGTGTTTTCATTTTCTTCAGATAAATACCCAGAGGGGAACTGTAGGATCATATGGCTGTTGTAGTTTTAATTTTTTGAGAAGCTTTCAAACTATCACCCACAATGGTTGCACCACCTTACATTCCAACAGTGCACAAGGGTTCCCTTTACTTCATATCCTTGCCAACATTTGTTTCTGTTGTCTTCTTGATAATAACCATGCTAACAGGTGTGAGGTGATATCTCATCATGGTTTTGATTTGCATGTCCCTGACGATTAGTGATGTTAAGCATCTTTTTAAGTGTATACTGGCCATCTGTATATCTCCCTTGGAAAAATGTCTATTCAGCTCCTATGCCCATTTTTTAAATCAGATTTTTTTTTTGTAGTTGAGCTGTCTGAGTTCTTTATATTGATATAATTTAGATATTAACTCCTTATCAGATATATCATTTTCAAATATCTTCTCCCCCTCAGTGGGTTGCTTGTTTGTTGATGATTCCCTTTGCTCTGCAAAAGCTTTTCAGTTTGATGTAGTCCCTTTTTTTTTATCATTGCCCTTGCCTGAGGAGACACATCCAAAAAATACTGCTAAGATATCCCTGTTTTCTTCTAGGAGTCTTATGGCTTCAGATCTTATCAAGTCTTTAACTCATTTTTAGTTTATTTTTGTATATTGTGTAAGAAAGTATCTGTGAATCAATAAAGATGTGATATATATATATGATGAAATACTAGCCATAAAAAAAGGAATGAAATCTTGCCATTTGTAACAACACAGATTGTCCTAGAGGGTATTAAGCTAAGTGAAATAAGTCAGAGAAAGAAAGACAAATACCGTATTATCTCACTTACATGTGGAATCTAAAAACTAATCCATAACACCAAACAAACAAAACAAAACAGACAAACTCATGGATACAGGGAACAAACTGGTAGTCTAGGGGTGAGTGGGAAGGTTGGACAAAATAAGTGAAAGGGATTAAGAGGTACAGACTTCCAGTTATAAATAAGTCATTGTGATGGAATGTATGGTATAGGGAATATTGTCAATAAAAGAGCAACAGCTTTGCATGATGACAGATGTTTACTAAACATATCATGGTGATCAATCTGTATTGTATATAAATGTCAAATTACTATGTTGTATTGTTTTTGTTCAGTCGCTAAGTTGTGTCCGACTCTTTGTGACCCCATGAACTGCAGTACACCAGGCTTCCCTGTCTACCAATTCCCAGAGTTTGCTCAAACTCACGTCCATTGAGTTGGTGATGCCATCCAACCATCTCATTCTCTGTCGCCCTCTTCTCCTTCTGCCCTCAATCTGAAACTAATACAATATTGTATGTCAACTAAACATCAATTAAAAATTTTTTAAATAAAAAAGTATTTGTGAGATATAAAATCACTACTGTGTCACTGTGTGGCCAAGGCCATTTTGCTCCACTACTTACTGATATAGGAGGTTCTCAGAGCTGAACCCCTTGTGATGAATGACATGACAATGAAACAGTGGAGCTGCAACAGTGGATAGTGGGGTATAACCATTAAAGAAAACTGATTTTGTTGGCTGAGGACAAGATCTGCCCTTATCTGAAGGCCACATAACTACTTCTAATGTTTTTCTTTTTTTTCAGTAGTAACTACATTGCTGTCATTGCTAAAAGTCTCTGGGGATGTGGTTATGCTGAACCTTCTTATCTCTGTGCAGAAACTTGGAGAACTTGGGGTTAGCAAGAACTTTGTATTTCACGGTGAAACATTTCATTCTGTAATAAATAGATGAGGACATGAAGCTCCAAGAAGGCAAACTGCTTGCCTGCAATTACCTAGTGCTACAGCCACAACCAGAGCTCTGCTCTCGCATCTTCCTAGCTCATCTCTTCAGTACCACTCAGTACTGAACTACATGCTTCTTCATATGGTTATTTTTTTTAATTTTTTTAAAAATAATTTTAAAATGTATTCATTTATGGCTGCCCATGGGTTTCCTTGAGTTGCAGTGAGCAGGGGCTACTCTCCAGTTGTGGTGAGAGGGCTTCCCACTGTGATGGTGTCTCTCGTGGAGCATGGGCTCCAGGGCGCTCTGGCTTCAGCTGCTGCAAGGCGGGTGGGACCTTCCCAGATTGAACCCATGTTCCCTGCATTGGCAAATGGATTCTTAACCACTGGATGACCAGGGAAGTTCCATATGGTTTTTTATGTGCACACATTTGTATTCATCTCACTTATCTTAGGAGGCCACTGATGTCAACAACGAGGGATTTGATGTCTGTATATCCACAGCTTCCCTAACCACTGCTTACCCACCTTTGCTATTTAACTCAGGTCCCCAAAATACCCTTCTCTGCCTATATCATTTCT